CCAGAGGGGATGGTCATGCCACAATCCCTTCTCCTCCATTCTCCTCTTGGGATCCTGGGCACGCACGCACATGTGCCCAGTGTGAGTTTTAAGTCACCGAGTCCGGGACACAAACCGCGGTCGACTACGCGGGAGTCCAGCGACATAGCCATTACGCTAACTGCTGGTTCCCCCTAGCATATTTTTCAAGCTTCCAGGTCTGGGACTTGAATTGCACAGCCAGGCGTGTGAGATCTAGCCACCTTAACCTCCATGCCACTTGCTGATCCACCCTTTATTACTATTATTATTATTATTATTATTATACCAAAAAGGATATGCTGAAATTTCCAAAGAAAGAAATTCAAATCGCCAATATCCAATAACTACTTTTTTTTTTTTGGTTTATTTTTTAGAAAAGATTTTGCTATAGGGCACGGATGCTTGCTGGAGAGGAAGGGGTGGGGACAGAAAGCGAGAAGTCACCCCCAGGGAGAATGGCCATGCCACAGTCCCTTCTCTTTTGAGCACACACGCACATGCACCCAATGTGAATTTCAAGTCTCTGGTCCAGGACTCAAACTACAGTCAGCCAAGTGGGAGTCCTGCGATGTAACCATTATGCCACCTGCTGGTCCCCCAGTAACTACTTTTATTGGTACTTGGGTATATGTGGTATCATCATGACACCTGAAGTAAGCAATTCAACTGACAGTTTAAAAAGAATTTAAAAGGGCACAGGAAGTCCAGACCTGTAGTTCCCTGGGCATTGCCATGGACTGAGCCTGAGACGGGAGGTGACTGCCAGGCTCCCTGCTGCTCCTTCCATGTGTAGGTCTCTCCACAGGTAAGCAGTTGGAATATACGAAGCCAACTTTGCTTCACATACTGACCTTCAAACCTTACTTTATACAGTAGCACAAGGTAGCCATTTGTTGAAAAGTTACATGTTTAAAACTTTTACAGTAATGCTGACGTTGCTGCAGAGCCAGGTCACGGACAGCTCTAATGACCGCTTCATTATCTTTCCCCTTTCTGGGCAAACCCCTCAGCCATTCGTTCCTGGTTAACTCGGAAACACATCCAGAGGCTGCACACAGCTGCCACGGCCATCAAGCGCGTGTGGCGGAAATGGAGAGTGAGTACGACTCAGAAGTCAGGTGGCAATGCTTGGAGGGGTTTGGACCTGCTACACTGTGCAGCCTAGCTCAGAGCATCCAGCTGTTCACAACCAGTGCTTTCATGCCTGTGTTCAGCTGACATTAAAATGGGTTTGGCGCCCCCCCCCCGCCTTTTTTTTTTTTGGACAGAAAGCGAGAAATCACCCCCAAGGGGGGATGGCCACACTGCAATCCCTCCTCCTCCATTCTCCTCTCGGGATCTTGGCATGCACGCACACACACTTGGTGTGAGTTTAAGCCACCGGGTCCAGGACTCAAACTGCAGTCGACTACATGGGAGTCCAGCGACATAGCCATTATGCCAACTGCTGGTCCTGGCTCCCATTTTTAATTAAGAAAGCTAGATAAACCTTAAGCTACAAAGAGATGTTTTCTTTTTAAGATCAGGATGGCCTCTCTTGCTGCTAAAGAACTGGATGGTGTGGAAGAAAAACACTTGTCTCAAGTTCCCCATTTCCTGAGCTCCTCCCAGCTGACCCCAGAGCAAACCGGGTTCCTGGGAGCAATAATCCGCCTCTGGCCTCTGGGACTGGTCCTGGCCAATGCAGCTGTGGGTGTCCGAGGCTTTCAGAGGAGGCTGGTGGTCTGGGCCTGCCTTCAGCTTCCCACCAGCAGCCCCAGTGGCTATGCCCTCCAGGCGGCACAACAAGATCAGGCTGGAGTCACATCCATCCGAGCGCTGCCCCAGGTAGGCTATGTGTGACGGGTCTGGGTGCCTCACTCCCACCTTAGAAGGCAGGAGTACAGCCTAGGAGTCCACAGGGGGCAGGACTGAGCCTGGGACAAGGGCCAACCCAAACCGCACTGGGCAAATTGGGACCTGTGCTTCCCATCCAGCTGCAAGTTTGGACTGTTCCTCTGTGACAGCTGGAGCAGAGACCCTCACTTTTTAAAAACGGCCTTGGGTGTCATAGCACCTCTTCTGAATCTTTTAATCAGTCTCACTCTAAAAACAACTCGGCTCTGATGACAGTGTGTTAGCTCTAATGGCACAAGCTTCAAATTGTACTGCTTGGTTTATGTCATTTCCCAGCTGAGGAACACAGCACTGAGGACTCGCTGGTCCAGGCCCTGTGCTTTACAGCATGAGCACCCAGTGTGGTGTCACGCCAGGCTCTGTGGCTCACCCCAGCAAGCCAGGCCTCATGGAAATAAAGGGGTCGAGGGAAGGTGAAAGGTGTGTTCTGCCTGGAGGCAGAACCCAGGGCCTAGGTCTGGCTTGCCCCCTTTACTGGATGACCCTGTTTCTTCATCTATAAACTGAACTAACAGCCTGTTACGCTGGGTCATGGCAAAGAGCACCCAAGACAAACAAGGCAGAAGGCAGAGAACAAACTACCATACCAAAGGAATTACTACAGGCTCTATCTAGGTACAGCAAGCACCAACAGAAGAGTAACAGTCTCGATGCTCTGGCTGTAAGCAGTCGGGAAAACGCAGGGCAACACTCAGGAAGGGGGCATTCCCTACCTGGATACCAACGTTCGTACTTTAGTACTGCTTTGGGCTTTGCTGCCATTTTAGAATAGCATTAATCCTGCCACTGCTGGACCCCTCACGCCATACTCTTTGTGTTTCTCGCACTCACGCTGCAAGGAACCCTGGCCTTCCCACAAGCCAAGGCTAAGCTGCATCTCTCTCTCCTTCCCCAGGGCTCGGTGAAGTTTCACTGCAGAAAGTCTCCACTGCGCTATGCTGACATCTGCCCTGAACCCTCGCCCTACACTGTTACCGGCTTTAATCAGATTCTGCTGGAAAGACACTGATCCACGTATGACCTCTCCTCACCCTCTACCCTCACCTGGCCGAGTGTCTTTCTGCCTTTGTTTCTGCGAGGCCGTTTCCTGCCAGCTGTCTTGCCAAAGACATTTAATCAACATACAGCTGCCAAACTATTCCCACAGCAACTCCAAACCCACATACCAGCAACAGCTCCAGCCGGCGAGCCAGGGCTGCCTGGCCAGGACACTGGTAAGCCAGGCTCCAGTCTGCACCTCCATCAAGCATGGACGGGGAGTCAGGGCTGGTCGTTACCAAGGCAGGATTAGGGCCACCGAGAACTTCACATTTCACTACAGACCAAACAGCAGCACCCGTAACTGTCTCACTATGGCGGGGCACTCCTGATTCTCACAAGCACTTTGGAAGAAACCAGGCAGTCTCTAGAAGTTTAGGGAAAAACCTGCGTTTAGTTCCTTTAAAAAGGAACAAAACTGTACTATTTAACAAGTTGATTTATTTAACATAACTTTAAACAACTGGATTAGAAGCAGGACAGTAGTAATGAGAGTACAACAGGACCACATCTTGATTTTATTTAGTAACACTGATCAAGTTTTTAACTCACGTGAGTGTGAAACTTGATAAATGCTATCTGTACCAAAAATAAAACTTTTTAAAACAAGTACTGAATGTTAAGTATCCTCTTGATAAGGGATTTGCCACCTAGAGCACGCCATCAGCCTGAAGCACGAGCCCACGTGATGGCAGTGACGCTCCGCATAACCTGCACCAGCCAGGCGGGAAGCGCCTCCCTCGCTCGGGCCCCACACTACCTGGTCTCCCGGGGAGGAGTGGGCCAGTCCTGGGAGCTGAGCACGTGCGTGGGCGAGCAGCACACTAAGTCATCCTAGGAGTCCTCGCTCTGGGAGGGCTCCACGATTCGCAAACAGCAGTCTGCAAACTCCACAAACAAGGGCTCCTGCATGCAGGCTCTCATGAGCTTCGCTTTGTTGTCCCCCTGGTCCAGGCTGACCATCAGCTGTCGTAGGTGGGGATTGAGCAGTAATGTTCTTAACGTTGCAGAGTCCTCTTAAAAATTAAAACATAAGCCAATTTGAGTTCAAGTGGAAACATGCTGAAATCTAAATGTTTTCTAACATAATATACAACTTTCAAGATACTGCATCCCTATAACCTTTACACTCACAAATTAACCCCAATGGTTCCCATGTGCAGGGGCCTCAAAAAATTAATTGAGGGGAACCAGCAGTTAGCATAATGGCTATGTCGCTGGACTCCCATGTAGTCGACCGCGGTTCATGTCCCGGACCCAGTGGCTTAAAACTCACGCCGGGCGCGTGTGCGTGCGTGCCCAAGATCCCGAGAGGAGAATGGAGGAGAAGGGATTGCGGCGTGACCATCCCCCCTGGGGGGTGATTTCTCGCTTTCTGTCTCTATGTCTCTCTCTGTCTGTCTGGCGAGCACACGCGCCCTACAGTGAAAATCTCTCCAAAAAAAAAAAAAAAAAAATTAATTGAAAGTATGTATCAAAGACCTGCATGGGTGGGGACCAGCAGGTGGCATGGTGGTTAAGGCACTGGACACTCCCACATGGCCAACCATGGTTGAGTCTCAGACCTGGTAGCTTGCTTTCTCACTTCTCTCTCTCTCTCTCTCTCTCTCTCTCTGGTCAAATTAAAATAAATTAATAAATAAGAATCAAATCTTTTTTTTTAAAAAAAAAAACCTGCATGGGCTTCAAAACCATACACAAACATAAACATACTTTAATTCTATTTTCCCATGAACTTTTAAAAGTCTCATATAAACAAGGTGAGATCAAAACATCAAATGGGAGCTGGCAGGTGGCATGGTGGTTGAAGGCGCTGGATTCCCACATCGCCAACTACAGTTCAAGTCCTGAACCTGGCAGCTTCCTTTCTCACTTTCCTTTTCTCTCTCTGTCTCCGATCAAAATAATAATAATAATAAAAAAAAAAACATCAAATGATCTCCAAGCTAGACACTAACAGATTCTTGTTCTGGGTATCTGTGAATACAGTGACTTTATGATATTTCAGCTTATGAAAAAAAATAACTTTTCTCAGCACGAACAGCATTTAAGTTGCTGTCTCCATTATGGGCACAGAGGTTCTCAGTGGTAGACAGTTATACCAAATACTTGACATCAAAGCACATGATCCAGGGTGCCGCAGGACCACAGCAGTGAACCAACACCAACACCCATATGGTGCTTCAGTTCATAAAATTTCTCACGCCTATAACCAGTTCAACGCCAACCTCAGTCTAATCACAACCATGGGACTAAGTGCAAAGCACAACCTTTCAGCACAATTCTGTGAAATGTGAAGAATGAAAATAATGCCCACCTGTAGGAACTACATTAGCCAGTTAATGTAATGGAACTGTTATCAGAATTGAATAAGCAGTGCTAGGTTGTTGGGAAAATCATGACATATTTCTGTGTTTTCCTATGCAAAAATTCATCACAGCCTTTCTGACAACCCAATATAAAAAAATGTACATCAACACCCATTTCCCCCTAAAAATACTAATCCTACAATTAGCAGTGTGCACTGATGTCTGACCTGTAAACCGAGCACTAAGAGTACAGGAACACAGGTCCCTGCCCTACAGATGGGTGTGTGTGAGACGCAAGACCAAACGTGGTGAGCAGGATATTACTAAGACCATCAAGGCACAAAGGGAAGCCAAACAGGACATAGGCTAAGAGAGAGAAGTTCAAGAAAAGCTTAGCCTTAAAGCAGCAGCAGACTGCTGTTCACCATGTGGCCAGTGGGCCTCCAGGCAGAAACCAGCGCTGTGGGCAGGCCGGGAGCTGGGAAAGCCCACACGCTTTGACACAGGAAGGCCCTGCACGCCACTCTGAACTATCTCAACTCAAAATCCACATGCCACACTACAGAGTAAATGATCTCAGTGGCGGACAAAATAAACAAGCACAATATAGACTTACCTAAATTCTTTAAATTCTGCAAAGAAACTCTGTCCTCTTCCTCGTCACTATTGAGAAAATCCGCTATAGAGTCGTCGTCATCTAAGGGACATACAGCACAATCAACTGCCATGTCTCGAAAGAAAAGCAGGGTCCCAGTTTCTAATAACCCCAAACAAAAACAAAAAAAAACATGTATGCGCATGAGACAGTAATAGGGCAGTACAAGTAGTTATAAAGAAAAAAAACCTTTCTTCTCTGGAACTCATGACTATACCAACACTCTTATTAATAGGGAAGAGAAGGCAAATGAAAAGAACAATAGGTAATTTAACATTACATCCACCCTGGAAGTTTCTCTAAGGACAAAAACGAGCCATCCGTTCACTTTGAATGTCGAATACCTCTTTGGTGGCACCAGTGAGGCTGTTCCCAGAGCCTGGCATGGTGAATGACACCCAGGGGTAGTAAAGAAACGCTGGGGGACCCACAAGTGGTATAGTGGTTAAAGCACTGGACTCCCACATGGCTGATGCAGTTCGAGTTCCAGACCTGGCGGCTTGAGACTTACGCCCCCAGCGCGTGTGTGCGTGCCCAGAGTCTGGAGAGAATGGAGGAAAAGGGACTGCAGCAAGGCCATCCCCCTGGGGAGTGCTTTCTTACCTTCCCTCCATGTCTCTGGCAAGCACACGTACCCTGTAAGCTCTGAGGAACTCCCAGTGGTAGCGAGGTGACCTGACCGAGGCCAAAGGAAGCCTCCTCCCTAGGACTAGCTCAGGGGGGGCCGACAGCCCAGCCAGGCTCATGAGGGAGACCAAGCTGTGACTGCAGAAGGTTCCTAACCCCCTAACAATGGCCATGGACTCTGCCTCCTGCCCCCCGTATCTCTTCTGAGGATGCTTCAGGCTGCTCAGTACCACCTGTGGCAACACCTGCACTAACTCCTCGTGGTGAGGGCTGGGCAGCTGCTGCTCCCTAATGAAGACGTTGCTCTCACTCCCCGTACAGCCCCGTCTCCTCTTTTCTTTCAACTCAGTCTATCTGAAACCTCTTGTAGGTTGTCTAGTTTGAAGTCAATCAACCCACCTTGGTTTTCCACAGGCTTTACAGTTTTTGCAGGTATTTTTTTCTCAACAGGACGAGTTCCAGGGTTGCACTGTTCTGAAAGAGACATAAATGCCAGACACACATCATCCTCATTGCAATGAAAGCCCCACCCCCCCAAGCCTGCATGTACGTGGGAAGCACGTGTGTGGGGTACGGGACGTGAGTGGGGTGAGATGGCTACGAAGGAAGTGAGAGAGCAAAGCAGGGAGAAGTACACAGAGGGGCTGCGGAAGCAGGGCTCATGCACCCCAGAATCCTGTCCCCATCCTTTCCGCCTTGCCTCATCTCAGGAGTCTCACCACAATTACGTGGCACACTGACTTCAATGGGTGGGTGCCCAATAATTCTCCCAGCAGTTTCAGATTCCAGACTTGCTTGCGCTGTTGGGACTCTCCAGCTAGAAGTCACCACAGCCACCCAGAGGGCTTACTCTAGCAATGGCAGCTAGAGATAGGGATAAAGTAAGAAGGATCTAGTCTAGTTTGACCTGAGAGGGACAGGAGACAAAAGAACTCAGAGAAGAAGGGCTGGCCAGGCAGTAAGAGAAGCATTCCTGACAGAAGGACAGTTCTATGCCTGGACCTGATGCTTGAAAGAACAAGGGAAGGGGCCAGCAGATTGTGGTTAACGTGCTGGACTCCTCCCATATGGCCAACTGCAGTTCGATCCAGGATCCAAGAGCTTGAAACACACCTGGCACATGCACCTCCCTCCCAGGAGCAGAAGGGATTGAGGCATGGCCATCCCCGGGGTGGGGGTGGGGGTGGGGGGTGATTTCTCACTTTCTCTGTCTCTCCAGCAAGCACACATGCCCTATGGAAAAAATATTTTTAAAAAAGACTAAGAAGGCAATGAGCCTCTGCTGGCTGACTGGGAGGGTAGGTCAGTGCTGGCAGGTGGCTGGGGCCTAGGAGGAGGAAGCCAGAGCAAATGGACACCACACGTGAAAGTTCACTTTTCTTCCCCAGACCATGTCTCTCAGCAAAGGCAGTACTGGTACTCAGGTCGCAAAGGATGGGCTCACACACAGGAGGATACAGTTACCAGCAGTAATACCAACTCCTCCTCAGCTACCGTGACAAGAACACTGTGACAATGTGTCTCTCTAGGGAGAGCAATACCCAGGTTACAACAACGCCCTCCATGCTAGAAAAGGAAGCTGACAGCTCAAATCTTCATCTCCAGCAACACTGATATGCCCGATTGCCCTGGGATTCCTAGAGCGGCCCCATAGGGCTGCAGGGTAAAAGGAAAGTACTCAGGACCCCAGGTCCCCACCCCTTTGCTGTTCCAGCAAGCGAATAAGGTTTTTCTTGAAAATGCTCCAGAGACATCAGGAAAAGAAAGAAGGTGCTGAAACCTCCCACTGTAAGCCAGAGATGAGAGGGGATAGAACCAGAGGCAGAACCAAAGCTACTGCTCCTGCTCCCCCGCAGCCCCAGCATCTCGTAAGTTCTCTTTGCCACGTCTACGTTTTCAGTCGTTCTCTAATTCTCAAAACAGAGACTTAAGAGCCAATGGGGGAGAGCAAGTGGCATGGTAGTTAGGGGCACTGAACTCCCACATGGCCAACTGTGGTTTGAGTCCCAGACGTGGCAGCTTGCTTTCTCGCTTTCTCTCTCTCTCTCTGTCCCTCTCTGGTCACATTAAAATAAATAAAGTAAAGTAAAACAAATATTTTTACGAGATTTATTTCATTTATTATTATTATTACTATTATTTTAACTTGACCAGACAAAGACAGAGAGAGAGAAAGGGAAAGTGAGAAAGAAAGCTGCCAGGTCCAAGACTCGAACCATGGTCAGCCATGTGGGAACAGTTAGCCATGTGGGAGTCTAGTGCCTTAACCCCCATGCCACCTGCCAGCCCCAAATAAATCTTTTTTTTTTTTAAAAGAATTATTTAACTTTATTTATTTTAATTTGACCAGAGAGAGATAGAGTTAGAGAGAGAGAGAAAGTGAAAAAGCAAGCCACCAGGTCCAGGACTCAAACCGTGGTTGGTCATGTGGGAGTCCAGAGACCTTAACCACCCCACCACCTGCTGGCCTCAATAAAATAAATCTTTAAAAAAGAAAAATACAAGAGTCAGGGCCGGCAGGTGGCATGGTGGTTAAGGACGCTGGACTCTCACATGGCTGACCGCGGTTCAAGTCCCCAGCCCTAGCAGCTTGCTTCCTCACTTTTCCGCTCTCTTGTTCTGTCCCTCTCTGGTCAAATTAAAATTGGATAAATAAAGTTAAAATAAAATAATTTAAGAAAAAAAAAGGTCAACAGAGGGGGGCCAACAGGTGGTGTGGTCGTTAAGGTGCTGGACTCCACATGACTGACTGAGGTTTGAGTCTTGGACCTGGTGGATCTGGATTTGGCTGCCAATATTGTCAGAGACAGGAGAAGGGGAGGGGGGTCAAACTGCAATTCCTTCTCTTCATCTCTCATTTCAGGATTTGGGGCACACACACACAAATACCCAGTGTGTTTTTCAAGCTACCAGATCCAGGACTCAAACTGCACCCTTTGCCATGTGGGATCCAGGCACCTCCGCCACACCATCACTGGCCCTTTTTTTTTTTTTAGATAAATCATTTTAGCACTGCCTGTGGCAGCAACAAAAGCAAAATAACTCAAATATCCACCATTAAAGGATTATGTCATAGAAATAACGGTTCTATCAGTCATAAAATGAAATCACATACAATTCTCAGCCTCAACCAGTCCCAGATCATTAACATCACTGGCCAAGCATGTTTGAGGAGGGCCCTGGATTTAAATGGAGAATCCTACCATGTGGGTCAGCCTTGTGTTACTGCAGGGCCACAGACCAACACCAAGATGTTAACTTAAAAAAGAAAAATTAGGGGGACCAGCAGTTAGCGTAATGGCTATGTCACTGGACTCCCACATAGTTAGCCGCGGTTCACGTCCTGGACTCGGTGGCTTAAAACTCACGCCGGGCGCGTGTGCATGCGTGCCCAAGATCCCTAGAGGAGAATGGAGGAGAAGGGATTGCAGCGTGATCATCCCCCCTGGGGGGGGGGTGATTTCTGGCTTTCTGTCTCTATGTCTCTGTCTGTCTGGCGAGCACACGCGCCCTATAGCAAAAACCTCTGCAAAAAAAAAAAAAAATTGTTGGGACCAGAGTTAGTGTAATGGCTATGTTGCTGGACTCCTATGTACTCGACTGTGGTTTGAGTCCCGGACCTGGTGGCTTAAACTCATGCCATGTGCGTGCATGCCCAAGATCCCGAGAGGAGACTGCAGAGAAGGGATTGTGGTGTGGCCATACCCCCTGGGGGGTGATTTCTTGCTGTCTCTCTGTCTCTCTCTGCCTTTCTGGTGAGCCCAAGCGCCCTATAGCAAAAACCTCTCCCCCCAAAAATAGAAAAATTGTTTCTCCAGGCCAGGAGGTGGCATGGCAGTTAAGAGTGCTGGACTCTCACATGACTGACTGCAGTTCGAGTCCTGGACCTGGCAGCTTGCTTTCTCTCTCTCACTCTCACTCTATCCCTCTCTGGTCAAATTTTTTTTTTTTAATAAATAAAGTTAAATACTTCTTTAAAAAAAAAGGTTCTCTTAGCTTTTGCCAAACGGTGAACAGCGACGCCTAAATGCTAAAACGAAGAAACAGCTACTAGGGTAGACTTCTGCAGCAAAAGCAGTAAACTATTTTCGAAGAAGGCAGAAAGTGTGGCAGGAGGGAAAAACAGGGTACGAGAAAGGTTCTGGCCGTTCAAAACCCGCAGACATGAACAGGTCGCACACACGGGGGAGGCCCAGCGCATCAGCGACAGGATCAGGCGCCGCCAAGGCTAAGCGGGGGCGGGGCCCCCTCCCGCGACGTGGGTCCCAGAGCCGGTGGCAGGGGCGCCGAGGTGGGAGCGGAGGCTTACCTCTGTGCGTCCGAGGAGCGATGGCCAGCTGCAATCCCTTCTCCTCCATTCTCCTCTTGGGATCTTGGGCACACTCGCACACGCACGCAACGTGAGGTTAAGCCTCTGGGTCTGGGACTCAAACTGCAGTTAACTATATGGGAGTCCAGCGACATAGCCATTACGCCAACTGCTGGTCCCGAGAGAGGTTTTTACTAGAGGACGTGTGTGTTCACCAGAGACAGAGATGGAAAGCAAGAATCACTCCCTGAGGGGGATGGCCATGCTGCAATCCCTTCTCTATTCTACTCTCGGAATTTTGAGAATGCACGCACATGTGCCTGGCATGACTTTGAAGCCACTGGGATGAGTTTGAAGCCATCAGATCTGGGACTCGAACTGTGGTTGACTATGTGGGAGTCCAGTGATATATCCATTACACCATCTGCTGGTCCCAAAATTTAAGTTATCTGTTGGCACTAGGAAGACGGGTAAGGGATGGAGCCAGCAGGTGGTATGCTGGTTAAAGGTGCTGGACTCCCACATGGAGCAATATGTGGGTGCTGGAATCCCACATGGCCGACTATGGTTCAAGTCCCAGACCTTGTGGCTTGCTCCCCTCCCTCCCCCCCCCCATCAAACTGGAAAATAATATTAAAGGAAATAATTCTAAAAAATATTGTTATTGTTTTTCAGTTTTGAGCAGAGAGAGTCAGAGAGAGGGGGAGATGCCAGGTCTGGGACTCGAGCTGCAGCTGGCCATGTGGAAGTCCAGCTCTTTTAACCACCAACGCCACCCACTGTCCCCCCCATCCCATACTACTTTTTTTTTTTTGTTTTGAGAGTACAACAGGACCACATCTTGATTTTATTTAGTAATAACACTGATCAAGTTTTTAACTCACGTGAGTGTGAAACTTGATAAATGCTATCTGTACCAAAAATAAAACTTTTTAAAACAAGTACTGAATGTTAAGTACCTCTTGATAAGGGATTTGCCACCTAGAGCACGCCATGGGCCTGAAGCATGAGCACACGTGATGGCGGTGACGCTCCGCATAACCTGCACCAGCCAGGCGGGAAGCGCCTCCCTCACTCGGGCCCCACACTACCTGGTCTCCCGGGGAGGAGTGGGCCAGTCCTGGAGCCGAGCACATCTGTGGGTGAGCAGCACACTAAGCCATCCTACGAGTCCTCGCTCTGGGACGGCTCCATGATTCGAAAACAGCAGCCCGCAAACTCCACGAACAAGGGCTCCTGCATGCAGACCCTCATGAGCTTCGCTTTGTCCCCGTGGTCCAGGCTGACCATCAGCTGTCACAGGTGGGGATTGAGCAGTAATGTTCTTAACGTTGCAGAGTCCTCTAAATTCTTTAAATTCTGCAAAGAAACTCTGTCCTCTTCCTCGTCACTATTGAGAAAATCCGCTATAGAGTCATCGTCATCTTGGTTTTCCACAGGCTTTACAGTTTTTGCAGGTATTTTTTTCTCAACAGGACGAGTTCCAGGGTTGCACTGTTCTCTGTGCGTCCGGAAGCAGGTCACGGAGCAGTAGGGCACGCGGCAGGCCAGGCAGCAGTACGTGGGCTTCTCCAGGCAGACCACGCAGACCACGCAGACCACGGAGCTACAGTTCAGCGACGCCATGACCTCCCGCAGCGGCCCCGCACTGCCGCACCCCATACTACTTTTTTAAAGAATTGTTTTTTTAACTTTATTTATTCATTCATTTATTTATTTTAATTTGACCAGAAAGGGACAGAGTGAGAGAAAGAGAGAAAGTGAGAAAGCAAGCCACCAGGTCCAGGACCGCAGCGGGCCCCGCACTGCCGCACGCACGCACGCCCTCCGGCGCGCACTTAGGCACGCCCTCTTTTCCGTTTCCTGAACTCAGGCCAATCAGCGCTCAGCCTCTACTGGCAGTCAAAAGCAATAGATTGATCCTGCTCGGTGTTCCAGGCCTCGTCAGTAGAGCGTCGATGCACTCGATGCGCAGCAAGCTTTTTCCTGGATTAGGTCAGGTCGTTGAAGAATTTGTGTAGCCCTGCCCCTGTCCTTCTGTGGCTGGGAAACTTGGAGCAAATCATCACTGCTCTCAAGCTCTGCGGTTGAGCCTATAAAAAGAATACGTGGGACTGAATATCTTCCCGCTCTGACTTTCTGAATCTTACATTAGGTTCTACAGCCCACCTCATCTGTTTATGAGAAGTTCAGACTTTGGCCAAACCAGAATCGGCGAGATCGCGTGGCACACAGGAACGTGAGCTTCCCAGTCTATACCATATTTCTTTTTTAGAAGGAAAAAAAAGTGTATTTCTCCCACGAGCAATCAAGAAAGGGAGAGACAAGCAGCATCCGCAATAGGGTCCTAACACTTTCATCCACACCGCCCCAGCCAGCCCTGGATCATGGGGACGCACATACCCAGTGTACCAAGGGAGGTCTCCGGACTGCAACCTGGGACATTCCCTCGTGGGTCAGCCTTGCAGAGTTGCCTTTTACTGCTGCGCCATTGTCTGACTCCCCTGAGTCATTTTACATAGAGGAAAGTCAAGGCTTGACCATTAACAAGTGTTAATTAGGCTATAACTATGTCCGCTGCACTACCCAGATGCTGAGGACCCTTGGGGATTAGAAGACACAGCCTCTGTCTTCTAGGACCTAAAGCTTAGAGCAATGGCAGAAGAGGGAAGCAAGGGGTGGAGGGCTACTCACTCATAGGGCCCTGTTGTGTTAGCCTGCACTTGCATGACCTTAAGAGAAAGTGCTCCTTATTTTATACCCTAGTCCTGGTCTGGCTGTGATGGGCCTTGAATGCCAGCACAGATTTTAAGTTTAGACAAAGTCACATTTTGTTAGGAGCCTTGTTTGTCCTCAAAGCCCACCGGCTGGCCCAGCTTAACCAGGTGTAGGTTCCAGTCTTGGCACAGACCCCTACCTGGCTGCGTGACTTGGGGGGAGGGATCAGTTACCCACTCTGAGCTCCCTCGTCTGTTACAGCCGAAGTTTGGGACCAAGTGTGAACAGTTTTGTACCGTGAAGCGCTACAAAGGGTTATTTTCGTGATACCTAGAGTCTAACTCTCCTAGGCCCCAAGACCACGTTTGAAGTCTGGTTTCCGAAAATCTGGCGGGTCCAGAATGGGTCCAGAATGCCATCTGCTTTTGTAGGCGGAGTTCTAACGCCGGGAGCAGCAGGTCTTCTGAGTCTCTGACGCCCCGAGGACGCTGTCCAGTGTTCGGTGCTGAAGCGGCAGAGCCCCTCGGGCCGCACATTTGCCGCCGTTTGCAGCTACTCCGGTTCCAGCCGCCATCCAAAATCTGGCCCGGAATCCAAGAGGCCTTCACACGGACTCAGTCACCTGCAGCGCTTCTTGTACTCCTCAGCAGTTCTGACCACGGCTGGTTTGACCCCGAAGCCTCCTAGACTGTCCAAGCTTACCTGGGACAGCCAGTGACTTGTTCAGGCCCACATTCAAGCCCTGGACCCTGTCTGACACGATAAAAATTCGCCCACGACGGAGAACATGGCTGCTACCTGCCTGTTCCAGATTTGTCCTGTGAGTTGTGTACAAAGGCTAAGGTTGGGGAGAGTCCCCGCAAATTTCAGGTGCTTGACACCACTCCAGTTCACGCAAACCACTCTGACTCCTCTACCTTTAAGGCAAAAGATGGTGACTCCAACACAAAAGAGAAAATTCCTGGAATCCCTCCCACGCACGCCCACGCAGTGAAGAAGCCCCTCCCTCTACTCTGGATGCTTTCCCGGTTGCATGGATCCCCACGCCCCTACTCCTCCAATGTTCAGGAAAAGAAGTGGGCTCTGTTGTGACGGCAGTGAGGTTGGGGGAGCCCACGAAGCCCAGTACAGCTCTTCTGGGCAGTGGCCAGTTCAGAAAAGAAAGACGAATATGACTCCAGGCCCAGCAACTAGGTGTCTACGCTGATGCAGGAGCTGTGCAGCAAATTCAAGGCCAGCGAGTCTGAGACACTCAGGGAATCGTAGGTCCTGCCGGGCACCACCAGAGGGCGCACCAAGCCGAGGCAGAGCGGGCGTTCGAGACGATTGGCAGCCCCGCTCGGACTCCACCTCTGCCTGGACACTAGGTGGACTGACCGCCAGGGAGGAGCAGGTCCAGGCGCCGGCTTGCACCTCGAACATCTCCAGGTGGTGAGAAAGAGCATCGAGAGTGCGGGGAGAAGCGGCGACACGATGGGCCTGCGCCAACTCAGGACTCCAAATGGGACTGGCTGTCCAGGAGCAGTTCCCAGTGGTGCTCATGGCCCCACACTCCTGTACAGCCGTGGGAGGGTGCAGTTCCAGCTCGCAGTTCCTGGGAGCTGGCCACCTAATAAAGGTGTAACTTTGTACTTCGGGAGCTTTCGGGTTACAACCAGGAGCTCCAGTGCCTCGCACTTCCTGGGTAGCCACACTGGGGCCGGCAGGTTGATCTCATCTCCCATGTGCCACCTGTTGCCCTTATCAGAAGCATGACGTGGATGAGGTTGAGCCCTGCTAAACTCAGCTTCTTTCTGCAGCTGGAACAGCTCCGTCCCTCCCCACCCTCCACCTCCAACCCCGAGCATGGGGAGCCAGGGCCAGCACCAGGAGAAGAAAATATCTGTGATGGGCTCTTCATGGCCCACCAGCGTGCCAGTTTCCCTTCTGGTCCAAGAGAGGGCAGTTCAGATGTGAGGGTTGCCGGTAGGAGTCACATGAAGGAGGCCGGAGGATTAGGTGGGGTGCACTCAAGTCATTAGTTTCCTAGTCATGAAATGATATGCATCAACTCTAGACAGTGACACTGTGATCTGCAGTTAGACTTCAGGGAGGACTTCCACAGACAAAAGGCATAGAGGCTAAGTAATTGCTCTCTCCGGTCTCTGCACTGCTGGGAAAGCAGATGACAGAGGTGGCCGCTGTTCCCTGAGCACATCCAACCGCCACACCCCACTTTGCTTTTCTCACACCCTCCCTCACTTGCACATAGACCTAGATCTCCCACCTGACATTCCTGAGGACACAGAAGCATCAAAGGAGCCAAGACTGCCCAAACAGATTCTCTAAGAGCCTCTAAAGGTTCCACACAAAGTGGGAGCCGGGTTTTTCATGAACCACTTAACTCGTCTATCTCCTCCATGGCAGAGGAGCATAGGAACTCTGCTCAGTGAGGAGCAGCGAAGGGGAAATGAGACCTCAAGTTTCCTTTCCATCCAATAAAAATGAAGACAAAATACTTTTCAGGCAGACAAACACCATGAGAATTCTTCACCAGGAGACCTGCAGTGCAAGAAATGTTGAAGTGATCAGGCAAAAGGAAAATAATACCTAATGGAAATTTGGATCTACACAAAGGAGCACCAGAAATTGTAAGCAGATTAGAAATTAGAAAAACATATTTTGGGGCTGGCAGGTGGTGTGATGGTTGAGGGCACTAGACTCCCACATGGCCAGCCATGTTTCAAGTCCTGGACCTGGCAGCTTGCTTTTTCAATTTCCCTCTCCCTGTCTCTAGCTCTCTTGCTCTCTCACTTTGTCATTCTGGTCAAATTTTAAAAGTTAATAAATATATACATAAAGTTAAATAAAATAATTATGTTTAAAAATAAAATAAGATAAACAAATGGAATTAGGGGCTGGCAGGTGATGTGGTGGTTAAGGCGCTGGACTCCCACATGACCGATCATGGTTCAAGTTCCGGACCTGGAGGCTTGCTTTCTCACTTTCCCTCTCTCTCTCTCACTCTGTCCCTCTCTGACCAAATTAAAAATAAATAAATAAATAAAGTTAAATAAAATAATTCTTTTAAAAAATGCAATCAAATAAATAATTCTTTTTAAAAAATTGTATTTATTATTTTTTAATTTGACCAGAGAGACAGAGAAAAAGAGAGACAGAGAGGGAAAGTAAGAAAGCAACCTGCCAAGTTCAGGACTCAAACCATGGTTGGCTATGTGGGATTCCAGCACCCCAAACTTCATGCCATCTGCTGGCCCTAAATAATTCTTTTTTAAAATTGTTTTCTTTCCTGGACCACCTGCTGTGTTGCAACAGCATCCTAAGGCTGGAGGCCACATGGCCAGTGGTGAGGTCCCTGGATTAGCTTGAAAATAAACTGGGCACACCTGGGCAGCTGGGACCCTGAGGAGCCAGAGGG